ACCGTCTCTCTACCTGTACCAGAGTGGCACTGGCCATGCTGCTCTGGGTCTTTCCTCTAACCTCTCCCCTATGCCCTCACACCTGGTTGTGACCCCCCCCAGTTCCTAGCGTTAGCACAGATGGCGCCAGCAGTGTGGCCAGCCCCGCCATTTTGTCCCACTCCCACCCCGGTTTTCCCGCCCTCGATGCCCAAAATGGCCACTTTCCCGCCTTCACCCCTTCTCTTCCTGCCACGTCCTGTTCCTCCTTCCCCCACACTGCGTCGTTGGGTGTAACCGTGTCGGGCCCCACCCCATCCATTGTGAAACCTTTCCCCGTCGCGGACCCTGCTCCTGCCTGTGGGTACGGAGGAGCCCGCTGAGCCCGAGATCCTGTCTCTCCCCTGGAGACAAGATACTTCTCTGTAAGAGAGACACAATGTATCACTCCCAGGGGTCTTTGAGTTAGATATGTTCAGCTGTTGTGCCCCATTGGTGTTCCCCCCTGCTGTCCCACCCCAATACATGTATCTCGGGCTTCCCCCCCCGCCCCTCTCCTCTCCCATAAATATCCTGGGTTTTCCCCTGTTCGGGAGATTAGCTGTTGCCGGCACCCTTCGCCAAAGCTCTGCTTGAATAAAGGTTTGTGCCTAGGTGGAATGCTGGACCAGCTTTCTCGTCCCTGCTTCCTGTGTTGCCTGCCCGCCGCCGCTGCTGAGCTGAGCTGAAATCACTCGACTGCTCGAAGTTGCTCATGCGCTTCGGCCCAGCCCTTCTCAGGGCTGCTTCTCTAGAGAAGTCGCGGTGCTCCGGGCTTTCCGTCACCGCGGCATGCCCACTCCAGGGTCCCAGTGCCCCGGAGGTCGGGACGGCTCCGGCCAGATCGGGGCCATCTTGGCTTCCCCACCCAGCCACAAAATGGCCAGCTCTAGGCACCTGAGCCAGCCCCGCACTGCCAGCAAGCGCCCCCTATCTCCACTAGGAGATGAGAGCAGTGAATCTTATTCAGATTCTGAGTATGAAGACCACTGGGCTGAGGGAAGCCACACGAGCGGGGAACTCAGCTCTGTCCCAGAAAATACTTGCCTTTCCTGTAATAATGAGGAGAGACAGGGCAGGGGCACAAGTTGCTGCATGGGAATCCCTTCACTATAGGGAACTGCAGGAACTTTGTAAAGCTGCCGAGGAACATGGCAGGGGTTCACATTTTTTTAAACACTTGCTGGAAACCTCCTTCTCTGCCCATGTCATGGTCCCGCATGACATCAAGAATATTATGAACTGCCTTCTCTCCCCAGCAGAGTACATGTTGTGGGAGAGGCAGTGAAAAAAAAATTTAAAGCAATTGGCAGATGTTTATGCTAAAGATGCTAACAGACCTAATTTTACTTTAGAGCAATTAGCAGGAGAAGGAGATTTCCAAAAGCCCTCGAGATCAGGCCCGGGATCTGCCTGAAGCAGCCTTATAGGATATAGCTAATGCTGCCAAGATATCTCTTTTTACCACCCCGATGATAAAGTGCCAATGCAGGGCTTCACCAATATTAAGCAAGGGGCAACTGAGTCTTTTATTAAGTATATTGATAAGTTAAAAGTAGCCATTGAAAAGCAGATAGAGAGCCCTCAGGCACAAAAGGAATTATTAGCAAAAATAGCAATGGCCAATGCTAATCCGGAGTGCAAAGCAGTTTTGTGAGCCCTCCCACTTGACCCCGAACCAATCGTAGATCAGATGGTTGAAGCCTGTACCAAACACTCCTCCGCCTCAAGTGAGAATACAGTGGCACTTGCAGTGGCTAAGGGAGTGGCAGAGGGGATATCTGGAGCTTATGCTGCAGACCCCAATAGAAATTGTTGTTTTAATTGTGGCGAGCCTGGACATTTTTTCAAAGACTGTCTGGAGAGATACTCTATACAACCACCAGCCCACCAACAGTTACCCAGACAGAACTGGCGTTCGGGAAACTTCAGGCAGAGCATGGAATGGCCCCGCGCTTCAACATCAAATCAAATGCCACACCGCTCCACCCCTCCTGCCAAACCCACCATCCTGCCTCCACAGGGACCCTGATATCAAGCCCAGCAGGTGGAGCGCTTCAGATGGGAACCCGGCGTCAACTGGTAACTAGACTCCCTTTACATATGAAGGGTGACTGTATTTAAAAAATCCCCACAGGGAAACGTGGACCACCAGGCGGTCCCTCCAACATCTTAATACTTGAGGATCCAACCAACTCTCCAGGGATCCAACCAACTCTCCAGGGCAAATTCATACCGTTCCTGAGGTTCAGACTATATACCCTGGAGATGAAATTTCCATCTCTCTGACCTGCATAGACCCTCCTTCTTATTTAAAGAAACAGATTCCCATGGCACAGGCCTTTTTACTTCCTAGTGACTGCCCAGATCAGGTTCCCCTCAACCCCAGTGCTATGTGGACTCAGGTTGTGGGCTCCTGCAAACCCATCATGGACTGCAGCCTATTTTGTTACGGGGAAAGGATTCAGCGCCCAGGAATGCTAGACACCGGAGCAGATGTTACCATCATCGCCTGCTCCAAGTGGCCAGACAATTGGGAATTACAACCTGTGACAAGCATGATTTCAGGAATTGGAGGGATGACAGCTTCCATGAGGAGCAAATGGAATATTGTCATCGAAGGACCTGAGGGAAAAATGGCAACCATCAGGCCGTTTGTGGTGAGAGCACCAATCACCTTCTTGGGGATGGGATCTCCGTCCCAATGGGGGGCTTCTCTGCAGATTCCCAGCAAGGATTTTTAGTGGGGGTCACTGAGAAGTGCGCCACACCTACCATCCCCCAACTCACCTGGAAAGAGCACCATCCAGTGTGGGTTGATCCAGTGGCCCCTATCTGAGACCAAATTGTGCACACTGGAAGCCCTTGTGGAAGAGCAGCTTGCCAAGGGCCACATCACTGAGTCCAATAGCCCTTGGAACTCCCCTGCTTTTGTCCTATGCAAATCAGGCAAGGACAGGTGGAGACTCTTCCATGACCTCTGGAAGATCAACGATCTCATTGAAGACATGGGATCCCTTCAGTCTGACATGCCCTCCCCTTCAATGCTCCCCTGGGATTGGAAGCTGGCTGTCATTGACATAAAGGACTGTTTTTTCAACATACCCCTCCATCCTCGGGACGCCCCCAGATTTGCATTCTCGGTTCCCTCTCCAAACAGACAAGCACCTTTAAAAAGATACCATTGGCTAGCCCTTCCTCAGGGGATGAAAAATTCTCCTACCATCTGCCAATGGTACATGGCCCACATTCTGTCACCTGTGAGGACCCTGTTCCCAGATGCCCTCATCCTCCATTACATGGATGACATCCTGTCGCTGCCCGCTCGGCCCTTCACGCCCTGGCTAGCTTGTGCTAAGCGTCGGCGGCAGGAGTGGGGAACCAGGTGAGCACTGTGTGGCTCGACCTGGAACCTCTAGAGCTCCTTTGGGCTCGGGCTCTCTATTATGCAGGACGACACGAGGTGCAGTAAAGGGAGAGAGAGTGCTCGGAGTCCTCCAATTTCCCAGGAACAAGTTTATTCCAGCAGGTGCAGGGAGAAGGTGATGAGGGACAGGGCTGGGATCTCAAGGAGAAGGTCCGAGCCGAGACCCTGGGCACCTCTGTGCGCCAGGTTTTAAAGCCCGTGGGCGGCTCATACAACAACCAATAGGATGGCAACAGGGGAGGTGTTGTGGGAAGGGGTTACAATACACTGATCCAATGGTAGGGACTAGGGGGAGGGAGGATAACCATACAACCAATAGGGCATCGAGTAAGGGGTGATGAGCAGGGAAGGAACCAGAACAAAAGGTGTGGTGTACATAGATTGATAGGGCTTGGGGGTAGGACCAAAGTGATGGATGGGGAACAATCTGGAAAGAAGGGAGAGGTTTACAATGACAGGCAACTGGGAACAAACTATATCGGGATAGTGGGGGAGTAACTGGGACAAACCAACTCTAAACTCAACGAAGGTGAACAAACATACTTAATGAAAGTAAACTAACAGGCGGCAACATCTCCCCCTTTCTTTTTTTTAGAAAGAGGAGGTTGCATCGGCAGGAGGTGCAGAGGGTTCAACAAACCAGTCTTGGGGTACGGGAGAAGGAGGAGGTGAAGAGGGAGGAGAAGATGCGCTAACAAAATTGACTTGAGGGGAGGGGGATACAAGATGTAAAACTGATTGAACTAAACATCTCTTTGAAACTGCAAACGCTATTAAAACGACGAAAACGACGAAAACAATCCATAAAACAGTCTTTAAAATGGACGAGAGCCATCCGGAGACCCCCCATCCCGAAAAAAGACTGGTGACCCAGTCATTAGTCTCTTGGTGTATTTGGTGGATCGGGGTGGTCATCTTTCCAATGGCTCTTTCTGAAAACAAAACATACGAAAAGCATAACTTTAACTAAAAAGGTAGGTTGACATAATAAAAAGGGGTTTGGGTTGTTTCCTCCTCCTCCTCGGGATGGGGGATGGCTCATCCGGACGCGACGTCATTGACATCCTCGACCCTATCTGGTGGCCTGCTCGGATGTCTGGGGACATAAGGTTTTACCCATCTTTGTGGGATCCACCTTAGCCCCTGGGGCGAGGATATGCAAGCATACCCCCGCCCCCAGGTCACCAGATCGAAAGGACCCAAGATCTTCTGGGTCTCAGGGTCCCGGACCACCACTGGAGGGAGCTGCTGTAACTGGTAGTTCTTGTTGGTCTTGAAATGCCGGGCCGCTGGAGGGTTAGGGTCCTGTTCGGAGCAGTTGAGAAAGTTTAGTGTGTAAAGGGCTTTGCACAACCGCTCTTGTGGCGTGCAGCCCTTCACAGTCTCCCTTTGATGAGAAAGGACACGCTTGAGCGACTGATGGGCTCGCTCAACGATCGCTTGGCCGGTGGGGGAGTGTGGGATGCCTCTCTTATGTTCCACTCCCCACTCCTGCAGGAATTCCTCCAGTTTCCTGGAGGTGTATGCTGGGCCATTGTCTGTTTTTATTTCTTTGGGGACCCCCAGTACAGAGAAAGCCTGCATTAGGTGCTTACAGACATGCTCGGCTTTCTCTCCTGTGTGGGCAGAAGCAAAGACAGCACCTGAGAAGGTATCGATGGAAAGGTGTACGAACCGAAACCTGCCAAACTCAGGGACGTGTGTTACGTCCATCTGCCACACTTCGCAGCTCCCCAGACCTCGAGGGTTGACCCCTGATCCCAAGGAGGGCATTGCGGTGGATTGGCAGTGTGGGCATGTGGCCACAATGGCTCTGGCTTGATCCCGCTGCAGGTGGAATTGGCGGACTAAACCAGGCACATTTTGGTGAAACATTTGATGACTCAGCTTGGCTTGCTGGAACACGTCAGGGAGCTGAGCCATTGAAACGGGGGTAGCGAGGGAATCCGCTATTCTATTCCCCTCAGCTACCGGGCCAGGGAGTTCCGTGTGTGACCTCACATGCATTACAAAGAAAGGCTGCTTCCTGTGGGAAACAGCATATATTAGCTTAGAAAGCAACTCAAACAGTTTCGGGTTTGAGACCTCCTTCAGAGCAGCGTGCTCTGCTCTGGCAACTACCCCTGCAACATAGGCCGAATCAGTGATTAAATTGAAAGGTTCAGGAAACCTCTCAAAGGCTCTGACGACTGCATCCAACTCAGCAACTTGTGGAGACCCTTCCACATATTGAATATCTGCTTCCCACTGCTGAGTTTCGGGATCTCGCCAAGTCACTACAGACTTGTGAGATGCCCCGGATGCGTCTGTGAACACAGTCAAAGCTTTGAGGGGCTTTCTGCTCCGCATTTCTTTTGGAATTGGTTCAAATTTAGAATTGAAAAATTTGTGGGCAGGGGCATGGACCGAAACTTGGCCTTCAAAACTATCTAAAGCAATCTGGAGTGTCTCATTCTCCCGAAGTAGTTGATTAAACATTTCTTTTGTCAGCCTATCTGGAGACGCTTTGTCCCGAGACAAGCTGACTGGCACTCGAACGCATGCAAAATCACATCCAGCCATCTCCCGAAGCCGAGCTCGAGCTCTCCCGATGAGCTGAGCCATCAGCTCCTGTGGCCGGGTGATACTTTTGGACCTTTGATGGCTCAAGAAAACCCACTCTATGATTAAGAGGGGATCCTTAGAGCCCTGGTCCCACTGAAAAATCAGCCCACTGAGGTGTGGCATTCTCCCGAGTATGATGAATTCAAAAGGCAGGGTCGGTTCGTACCGATGTGCTTGCCTTTCGACAAGCGCATCCTCCACTTTCTCTAGGGCTTTCCTCGCCTCTGGGGTCAGAGTCCTGGGAGAACTCAGCTCTTTCTCCCCCTTCAAAAGTGTGAAGAGGGGGGGCTAGGTCTTCCTTGGAAAGGCCCAGCCAAGGCCTGACCCAGTTTAAGGTCCCACACAGCGAGTGAAGGTCCGCTAAGGTTTTCGGATTGCTGTTTATTGCCAATTTTTGAGGCACAACAGTCCTCTCAGCAATCCGCAGACCCAGATACTTCCAGGGTGGCATCCGTTGAACTTTATCCTCCTGGAGTTGAAAGCCTGCGGATGTTAAAACCTTAACCACTCGGTCAAGAGATCGGGTAAGTAGATCGTCATGGGGGGCGCACACTAGGACATCATCCATATAGTGATGGATGATGACCTCCCCCATCTCTTTGCGCACAGGAGACAGCAACGAGGAGACGTACCACTGGCAGATGGTGGGTGAATTCTTCATGCCTTGTGGCAAAACCTGCCAGTGGAACCTCCTCATTGGGGCTTCTCGGTTGAGGGTTGGCACCGAGAAGGCAAACCGTGGGGCCTCGTCAGGATGTAGGGGAATTTGAAAGAAACAGTCCTTGATGTCGATTATGGCCAGATTCCAATTTCGGGGGAGCATAGTCGGGGTAGGCATCCCTGGTTGAAGGGGCCCCATGTCAACAATGATTTTGTTGATGGCACGAAGGTCGTGGAGGAGTCGCCACTTGTCTTTCCCCGGCTTTCGGATAACAAACACCGGGGAATTCCAAGGGCTGGTAGTTTCTACTATGTTACCCTTATACAACTGCTCCTCCACGAGCTCGTTGAGCGCCCTTAATTTATCTTTTCGAAGCGGCCACTGATCAATCCAGATTGCTTCATCAGTGGTCCAATCGAGCTTCTGGAAGGGGCGCTCTACAGTGGCCGCTATTAAAAATCCCGAGGGGTTTTTGGGATTTCAATCTTTACCCCCCATTGTGACATAAGGTCTCTCCCCCACAAGGGAACCTGAAAATCCGCAACAAATGGGCGTAAATTTGCCAATTGCCCATCCGGTCCCTTAATTTGTACTACGCTCTTAGATACCTGCGCCAATTGAGTACCCCCTATACCCTGAACCTTCCCCGCCGCGGGTTGCAACTCCCAATGTGACGGCCATCTCCTTTGGGGGATGATCGTCACATCTGCCCCTGTATCAAGCAGACCCCTCAAGTTGACAGATTCCGCACCCTGCTTGATGCTGCAGTCAATGATGGGTTTATTTTCACCCACCACCTCTGCCCAGTAGACGCCTGGTGCGTGGTCGTCTACCGGGACTCCCTCTGGGACAGGAATGTACTGAGCTATGATTTGCCCTTTTGGGAGAAAATATGGTGGGTGAATGCAGCGCGCTAAGAGGATGAGATCTTCCGGACCACCCGGGAAGGTGATCGGGGAGATCTCAATCTCTGGGGGTGTGTGTCTAGTGTCCCCGATGGCGATGAACTTACAGTCACGTCCAGTGTTCTTCTTGTCTCCCTCCAAGGGATC